AAGCAAAGGCAAGGCCAGGTAATTATGTTGATATGCAGCTCTCCTGGAACTTGCCTACGGTTGCCCCACCAAATTATCCAATACTTGTAGAGCCTGTAGATAATGTCAAGCAGCTAAAAAGTTCTTTGTTCCAGTTTCGCTTTGCCCCTTTTTCCATTTCTTCATACATTCATCGATTCATCAATTTCTGGCCCCACTTCCTTTAAGTCTCGAACGATGTGGTGTATGTGCTTAGTGGTTCAATAAAACTTTCACTCAAGTGCGGCTCATCCTTGGCGTGAAGCGTTAAGCATATTTACACGCTAACTTGGCTGGCACTTTGGCTAAGTAAGTTCTCAAATTGACACAATTTTTTTTTTTTTTTTTTTTTTTTGATTTTGGGCTAACAAAGGAAAGTCATTAGAGATTGATGCACAAAAGGAATTTTCTGGCTACATGCTTTCCGCATTATTGAAAACTTACCCGTAAGCGCAGTAATTAACAATGCCGGCAACAACAACAACAACAACAACAACTATGAGAGGCAGTTGCAATTTTTGATGCAGCTGGCAACAAAGTGGATTTTATGCCTTGAGGCACATGCAAGTTTTATGCAAATGGCAAGTTGAGTCCCGAAATCGGACAAAAAAAAGACACATAACAGTAAATTGGGTCAGTGTGACCGACTAGCTGATACCCTGTACCCGATTTCGAGCTCTTGCAGCAACAATTTGAAATGCGTTGTTTCGTTCTCCAAGCTCACAACTAACAGAAGTTTATTGTATAGAAATTTCTGTGATTTCTGATCATATTATAGTTGAATGTGTATTTATACCAAAAAGTTGGAAGATCTTTGAGCTGTATTTTCATTTTGGTTGGACTTTAAAGTTAAATATTCCAGCTTTTCTTATCATAGAACACAAATAACATATTCTGTGGCACAGTCTCTTAATATTTGCCCTCTAGATAGGCCAAAAAGTACGAAATTTAAAATCGATATTTATCGATCTTAGAAAAATTCGCAGAAACAGTCGAATAAAAATGTCAAGATCATGATTATTGTTATAAACATGATTATTATCTTATTATCTTATTATATGTCCCGTAGATATCCTCAAAAACACGAATTTAACAAATCGATATTTATCGATCTTAGAAAAACTCACATAGATAGACTTGGGAATATGATTAGCTCAATTCAGCTCGTCTTTCTGCTCACAGGGTCGCTTTTGCCTGCCTGCAGCACGAATTTGCACCAAACCATCATAACCTTTTTTCTTGTTGTACAGGGTATCAAAAAGGATAAATTACTTTTAAAGTGCGCAGGCAATGTGAGCAGGCTCTGGCAAGCAGGCAGGCAGGCAGGCGCAGGCACAGGCTCGGCGAACTTGCCTTTGAAGCTAACTCTACATTGGCCCGAATGCAAATTGGCTTTGGAGCGTTTGCCTATTTTTGGCACTCTGATGACTTTCTGATTTGCTTACGAAACAAGTTTTTTGTGATTTTTTTTATTCCTTCTATTTTTTCATTTTCTGTGCACTGCAAGTTTCGTGTGTTTTTAGGCGCTTTTTGTTAGCCGACTTGTTTATTATTTGTTAATTGAAATGTTGCAAAAAGTTACGCATGTGCCTGATGAGCAGGGTGCGGCAGAGCGTTGCAAGTGGCAAGTAGCCTGATTGGAGGCTGTGCTGCAACTTCATGTGCCACGCCCCCCTCTCATCTAATGTCTAAATGTCTAAATCATTGCAAACCCCAAACAACAAAAGGGGAAAAATGTTCCCGGCTTAACTCACAAACGAGCTGAAACAAGTCGCAATAACTAGACGAAAAGAAAGTTAACAACAGAAGCCGAGGCATGAATACCCTATAAAATCTCTTGCTACTGTTAAATTTTTGTCAATTTTGAAGGCAGTTTTTTCTAAGAAGAACTCTGCATCGCAGTTCATCTATTGAAAATCCAAACTTTTCTTTGTGCTTTCCTCTTTTACAGATCAGGGTTGTCTTTTGTTTGGGGAAAGCCAATTCGGCGTAAGGTTCGACTCATAGTAAAAAAGAATTTCAAAATATATAAAATATTTAAAAAATGTATATACAAATAGACATAATGAGGCCCGAATTCCAAGCCTCTTTTAACCATCAACCGAAAATTAAATCGGATTATTTAGCTAAAGAAAAAGAGGTGAGCATTAAACAGAATGGACTTCATATTTTTCATTGATTCAGTTTATTCAAATTCACTTTTTTACAAGAAAAACAATGTGTTAATATGAATACAAGTATTATTTACGATAAAGAAAATGAAAAGGTCAAGGCTCAAAACCCAACCCGTCTAAGTAGATGTTGATATTGTTTGGGCCTGCAGCCATGTTCAACACTAACTGTTGCCAAAGCTAATATGCCCTTTTGCCAGCGTATCGCAAAGTTATGAAAAACAAACAAACAGTCCAAGTTATTAGACGAGTTCAGATTTAGTGCTGAGGTTAACATTTTGTCTAGGTGTGGCACGTAGCACGCTTTGCGAGTCCACAAATAGCGCAGAGGGCAGCACAAAAAGGAAATCAAAGAGACTGCCGCATGTGGTGTGTGTGGTATGTGTGTGTGTGTGTGTGTGTGTGTCCAGACTGTGCTGCCTCTTGAGTTTTGCTGTGGGTTTTGTGCTGTTTTGGTTTGTGCAACTATTTTCTATTCATTTATGCATTTTGGCAATAAAAATTTCATTTTTTGCTTAACTAAGTGAAACGAAAAGGTTAAAAGCAGCACCGCAACGAGATGGCGCTACAGTTGGAGCCGGAGCTGGACTCTCCGGAGGGCAGGACATCGTCTCTGGCACTGAAAGCGACTTTTATCTTGGGCGCCCGGCTCTTTGGCCCAGAGTTCGTTCCGGCTGTCTCTGCTGTCTGTCTCTCTTCCATTGCCTAGATAACGTTTCCGTCTGCCTGCTTGCTTTTTGTGTAGTTTATTTTGTTGTACTTCCTGTTTGTTGTTTGCAAACATTTTTTAAATTGTTTGCTGTAATTTGTTTCCGGCCAAAACGGCAAATGGCCGCTGCGCCATTTTGTGGAGCCCAACGCAACCGCACAATGTTGGAGCTTTGTTCGTTTTATTATCATTAAAAAATTATAATTTAAATGTTCGTCTGCCTTTTTACATATCGTTTCTAGTTGGTGCTTTATTATACCCTGAACCCATTGAAAATGAGTAAAATGGGTATATTGTATTTGTGCAAAATCCAAATGTATCTAACAGGCAGAAGGAAGCATCTCCGACCCCATAAAGTATATATATTCTAGATCAGCATCAAAAGCCGAGTCGATCTAGCCATGTCCGTCTGTCCGTCTGCCCGTATGTATGAACGCAAGGATCTCAGAACCTATAAGAGCTAGAGACTTGAAATAGATTAGATGTAGGTGCTCCTAGTGCCTGCGCAGATCGAGTTTGTTGCTTCCGATAATCGATAACATACTCCGTTTCCAAGCAATCGATAAAATTCGACAATCGATATCCTGTTTTTTGGGCAATTTAAGAGCTAGAGTCACCAAACTTGACATATAGCTTCTAAAATAGAATATATATATGCATTTGATGTTGGAAGAAGTGGGTTCAGGGTATCCCCTAGTCGGGAGCTCCCGACTGGAACCTCTTACTTGTTTTTTATTATTTTACTGGCACGTTTCGACCCTTTCGGGCAACAGCTGCTGATCCCAATCCCGATCCCGGCTCCAATTAGTTGTATAATGCGTCTCTCTGCGTGTCCTTCGGACATTTATTAGTTTGACTTTTTGCCCACGATTTATGGGTTTGCCAAAGAAAAACTCTATGCAAATATTATTTGGCAGCTGTTGCACTCCGAAATGTTTCATTTTATTTCCATTTGCCGTAAAAAAAAAGTTCTAAAAATATTTCACATCAAATTTATATTATTTTCATTCGATATTTGCGCGTTTTGCCTATGATTTTTGCTGCTAAATTATTTACGTTTATTGCAAATTGCATAAATAAAAATTTGTTTCCGAATTGAAAATTAAGTGACACGAAGTGCATAATTGAGTACACTTTCATATCAATTTATTATCAAATATTTCAGCATAAAGAATTGCTCAATTGATATTTATGGAAATATCTAATATTGAAATATTTCTTATTTTCTTCTATTTATTTAGATCAAATATTTTTTTTTCATTAAATTATTATTATGGAAAATGTCTGTTGTCCTGCCTCTGAGCACTTTTTTAAACTCCTTTAATTTCTGAATAGCTCAGAATATTATTGAAATTGAAACTTTAAAGGAATTGGTTTTTTGTTTTTTTTTGCTACATTCTTCCAAATGTTGACGTCGCTTGCGTCGATTGCGCGTCATCAATGGGCAAATAAAAGTTTGGCCTGCCACGTGCTGCATTCGAAACCGTTCGACAGTCACGTAGCCTGTCTGGCAGCTAGAAATTAAAACCAAGTTAAACATTAAACATTCGCATTGCAAAATATTTGAATTCAAATTCAAACTCTAGCGATTTGTTAAATGAATCATGAAATTGCAAAACTTTTTGATTTAATTAATAGTGAAAGTATTGTAAGGACTGTGAAATGCACTTTGGTTTTTGGAATAGTTAAAAAAACTATAATATGGTTACAAATTTATAAATATTATTGATATATTTGGTGTATACTCGAGCCGGATTCCGCTGAGTCTTTCTTTGCCTGCCTTTGAGCTCGAAAACTATAAAAGCTAGAGACTTGAAAGCTAAAACTTTTGTAAAGGCAGCTGTTTGCAGGGTGTCTTCCAGTCAAGCACACCCGACTCGAGCACTTGTAGTTGTTTTGTGTCTTAAAGCAATTTTGGTTTTGTCTCTGCCGCCAGCTACTTATCAACTAGAACTCGACTCTGTCGCACTGACGCAGTTTGGATCGCACACGTCAGCAAAATCCAATTCGACCAGACTTAATAAGACTCCCGCTTCCGAGTCTCTAATGTATAGTCACGTAGCTGTCTGCGGCAGAGCGCAGTTTGTGTACAAGCTTCGATTCGTGCAAACGCGATTTTAATTGCTGCATAAATTTGCGAAGCAAGAAACGAAAGAAAATCAATTTGAATAGTGCAAGCAAATTTGGGAAAAAAATATCCATTAATAAAAATGCAGTTAGCCCTGCCTGCTGCTGCCTGCTTCCAGCTCCAGCTCTTGCTGCTCAGCTGCCTTTGGCATGGCTATCGGCTGGAATTTGTGCAGTTTCCCGAACAACATTTGGAGCACAATGAGCTGCTGCTGTCACTGCCCGAGGATGAGTTGGATTTGTCGCAGGTGAACTGGCGAGCGATGATACCGCTGCTGCTGCAACGTCAGCAGGTGCGTCTGTGTGTCGCCGTCTATCGTTACGAACCGCAGCTGGTGGCGGGCACGTCCTGTGAGGCGCTGCTGGGCAACGGTCTGATGGCGTACTGCGACATTGGGCATGTCGAGGATCTGAGCATGACAATGCGCGCTGCATTTGGCGGCATGCTTTTCGATACGCTGCAGCAATGCCGTCCGGGCATGGAAATCTTTGGAGTACGTTGCCGGCGACGTGCCTGAACGAGATTAAGACTAAGGCCAAAAACGAAGCGCTTAAGTGAATTGCTAATTCAGTTTTCTTGCCACTGCTCATCATCAGTCGTGACTGCCGCCGTCCATCTAAATTTCTATCTTCATCTCTGTCTTCGTGTCCCTTGTCATTTCAATGTGTCAATAAAAATGCGATGTGGGTGAAGGCCTGTCCCGGGCACACACACAGCCAGGCCGTGCGCTGAGTCGAGCTACGGCCACACCCTGAGTCCTTGCTGAGCAGCATCATGACAAATGACGATTATAATTTGTAAAATTTGCACCCTGCTTGTTATCCCGCCGCAGCTGGTGGGCGGCGGGCGGCCGGTTTGTGGGCGGGTACAGCTTTCAGTGGCAGCGCTCTGGCCATGTTTGGCTCTGGCCTAGTTCTCTTTTGCCTTCAGATTTAGTTAGTGCATTGCAATTGTTGTTGCAATTAGCAGAGACAGCAATGTTGTAGGGTAGCGGGACGGAGAGTAGTAGTGTGGGGGGCGAAACATAAGCACTATGGGCAGCTGAAAAACTGATGGCTTGATTTTTCCATTAAACACTGCAAATGGAAAATTGCAACTGAAACAGCGCAGACAGCAGAAGGCAAAGGCATTTGTTGTGCTTGCTTGTTCGTTATTGTTGCTCGTATACCCTGCACCCATTGCGAATGGGTATAATGATTTTGTGGTAATGCATGTAACAGGCAAAATTAGGCAGGTGCGACTCCATGAAGTATGGACATAGATTCCTATATAGATATTCCCCTATAAATATTCTCCTATATATATTCTCCTATAAATATTCTCCTATAAATATTTTCTTTTACTGGCAGAACGAGATTGTGAATCAGAGAGAGAGAGAGCGAGAGAGAGAGAGATAGAGAGAGAGAGGAGAGAGAGAGAGAGAGAGAGCTTTTCTATAGGTCTTATATACATTAGAATCGGATCACAAGCACCGAAGGTATTCATGAATGCATTTCCCCTTACATATCCTGGTGTATGGAGAAGAAGAAGTAAAGCGAGCTGCATTTGCATATGTATTTGTATATGTTTGCGTGTGTGTATTTTAAAAAGGTAGCCAAAATGCGTTTAGGGTATTTTTCCGGGAGGACATTCCCGACTGCAGCACTCGTACGTATATGTGTTTGTTGTTGTTGTTCTTGTTGGCAATTACCGGGCAATGGGCCAGGCATTTAGCTTGAAATGATGGCCATCATGAGTTTTCATTTTCACTGCTTGTTGTTATTGTTATTTTCTGCTTAATTTGTGTGTTGATGTGCTAAAACACCTTCTGCATCAATCTCTATATAAATCAAAAAACGTTGCAACATACTTTTTGGCTCAGCTGCAAAATGTATGCCCCGCCCCGACCAAAAGCCCGAGCCGCTCTATGCAAAATGCAGTAGGAAATTGCTTAAAATGATTGCATGAGCTTGCCAGTCTGACTGTGTGTGTGTGTGTGTGTGTGTCTGCATCTGTGTGTATGCTTTTGTGTGTGTGTAATCAATATCAATAAATGCTTGTTGAAATTTGGGTCTCAATTATATCACTGTTCGAAATGGGAATGCTTTGTCTCTTGTGTAAATATGGTCCGTACGCTTGTCACAGTTTCAGATTGAACATTTTGCAAAGATTTCGTTTTCAAAATAGCTTAAAGGAAATGTTTTTGTTTTCAAGATAATTTGAAAAGCTAATAAAAAAAACTAATACGATTTCTCGAACTACAACTGTTAGTCTTAGGTCGATAAGATATCGTGTATATTTGAATTGTTTAAATAAATTCAACATATTTTATAATTTGGCATCTTAATCTGGCAACATTAGTTTTGGTAGAAATTCATTGTGAAAATTGTCAAATATGATTTATAGACATAGGTCAAAATATCCCATATAGACATAGGTCGAAACTTCCGTCTCCCATGTCTCGGTCAAATCTCATCCGATTTTCATTAGGCTTGGTTTTTATACCCTGAACCCATTAAAAATGGGTAAAAAGGGTATATTGCATTTGTGCAAAATCCAAATGTATGTAACAGGCAGAAGGAAGCATCTCCGACCCCATAAAGTATATATATTCTTGATCAGCATCAATAGCCCAGTCGATCTAGCTATGTCCGTCCGTCTGTCTGTCTATCTGTCCGTCCGTCCGTCCGTCCGTATGTATGAACGCAAGGATCTAAGAACCTATTGAAATTTTAGATGTAGGTGCTCCTAGTGCCTGCGCAGATCGAGTTTGTTTCCGATAATCGATAACATACTCGGTTTCCAAACAATCGATAAGAATCGATATCGATATCCTGTTTTTTATGCCATTTTGATAAATAATAAGAGCTAGAGTCACCAAACTTGACATATAGCTTCTAAAATAGAATATATATATATAATAATATAATGCATTTGATGTTGGAAGAAGAGGGTTTAGGGTATCCCCTAGTCGGGAGCTCCCGACTAGAACCTCTTGCTCTTCATGGTTTGAGCTCTAGATCAATTTGGTATCTAAATCAGGCTACATTATTATTATTTTACATATTTTACTTAAGATTAGTTGTTTGTTTTTATAAGTATTTTGTTTACTAGAGAGTTTACGAAACAACTAAAATAGCCCGTTCGATCCCTTGCTATGCAGTTAGGTAATTCGCAATGTATCTCAAAGTTGATTGCAATTTGATGAGTCCGCATTCAAATTTACATTGCCTGATTGTTTTGCAGCTTGTTTTCGCAGATTCCAAATGCGTTTTCGCAAATGCGAAAGTCTAGAACTCTTGTAATGTAAATTAATGAATTGTATAAAGTGCTTGGAATATTTACGCTCAAAGCAAACGCAAGATGGTGTGCGATTGGGCTGAGAAGTGGGACTGAGCAATGAATATGCAAAAGACTCTGGCCCATCGGGCTGCTCTTGAAGTTCGTTAAAAGCGCGCCATAAGGTCAAAGGGCGGGCCACGTCCAAGGGTCATTAAGGCAGCGCATTGGCCGCTCTGTTTGCACAACTGCTGCAGCAGCAACAACAATGGCTTCGACTGCTGCTGCTGCTGCTGCTTCTACTGCAGCTACTGTTAATGTGCAGCCTCGCCTGCTGAAATATGCATAAACAAACCAAACTGAACTACACTCGGGTCTCGGCAACTGCTCTGATGCGCGACGCGTCAGGTCCTGTCTTCGCTAGAGTTGAGTTCAGTTGAGCTCTGTCAGTAATTAAATTTTACGCGAAATTCTTTGCATTTGCTTCTTTGATTTCGCAATGGCCTTCGAGCCATGTTACGCTCTTCTCTTGCACTGTCTTGTATTTGCATTAGGAATAGCGAAAAGTCTATTAACTTCCAACTCGGCATTTGCCATAATTTATGCAGCCTTGCTTTCGGCACTCGCAGCGTGACAATTCCTTCAGGGCTGCAAATCGATTTGAAAATGTTTCGAAAGTCTGAGCAATAAATTTACTAAAGTCTGTTCAAGTTGACATATAGAATGTTTTTCTAATTTGCCAAATAATCTTAATATTTTTGAACATTTTGTTAAGCTCTTTTGATATTGATTCTGCCTTAAATCAATTTTCTTAAATTTCTGTTGCTTTTAAAATTAATTCTAGCTAGCATTAATTTTCTAATCCATTAAATTCGCCTTGAGATCCTTGGGTCTAGCCCTGTTAAAATTACTTCAAGTGCCAGAATTATTGGAATGCCTTGCTCTGCGAACTCTTTGCCCTGTGTGCTCTTGTTAGTCTTGCAGAAATTCAGATAACAAACGAGCCCAGGCAAATTGATTGCATTATCGAGCCAAAGACAATGGAACGAACCAGAATGTTGGGGTCGGTCGGGGCGACATATAAAATCGAGCATGGCAACAAACTTAAGTGCCATATGAGAGAGATATGCGAGTGCTTCAAGGCTCATTTATGGCCACTGCGTGCTGGTCAGTTTTATGCATTTTCCCACAGTGGGGTGGTAGGGATTGGGGGGTAGGGCATAGGGGTTAGGTTGAGGCGAAGCGTTGTCAGGCATTTTGGCACGTTGTTTACTTTGTGTATAAACCGAGTGGCACTTACTTATTTTGTGCCACATAATGAGCACTCCTGATGGCCGCTTATAAATTATATAACCCACAAAAGCACACTCGCACACACACTTGCACACACACACACACCGCACACACACTCTTAAATAAATTCTCTGCACACACCCACGCAATTTGATTTGTATGGCTTTTCAATTTGTGCTCTGCTGCTTTTTGCTTTCTTTTTTTTTTTTTTTTTTGTGTACTTTCCATTTCGTTTTTATTTTTTTTTGCCTGTTTTTCTTTTGCTTTTCTTGATTTCCTTTTCGTTTTGTGTGTGTGTGTGTTGCCTGTGCTGCATTTGCCATTGTATAAATTTTTGGTATTTGCGCCAATTTCATTCCAAATTGAGCGCTGGCCACAGTCGTTTATTTTTAATGCACCGGGCACCCGGCAACGAAACCAGCCAAGCAAACAGCCAGCCAGCGGCTCGGACAGAGGCACAACCTGAGCGCACAAAAGTAGTACAACTAGAATCCTAGATTCCGGCTCTTACTTTCGCTTTGGATATGGCAGAGGGGTGTATTATTATTTTTAGAGCAAACCAAGGGGCTAACTGCGCTTTAAGTGATGACAATTTTCATTATTCGAATTTAATTTGTTCGAAAATAGTTGCAAGTCTTATATAATTTTATGTACAATACAATAGCTTGCGGTCAGACATTCAGGCAAGTAGAATGCTGGTTCAAATCCTAGGCTGCTGCGTTTATGTAAGTCTTTCACATGAGAATTTTCTAGATATTAACTAAAATTTGTTGAACTTAAATTGAGGAATAAGTTCGAACGAAAGGCTGGATTCATGACTCTGAAATTCCCGCTACACAAACTAAGGCGTAGTATAGAGTTTTTCTTATATGTTAATATAATATCTATATCTATTGAAATAGTTTTAAAACTCTTAAGAAAGAACGCTTAAGAAAAGTAAACTCAATTCTTAACATCTACACCAGCAGTCTTAACAATTTGCTTAGGACAATAAACATAGCTTAAAGCGTTTGTGAACTCATTTTTAGAGCATTTTCTTTTAAGGCTCCCTGCTGACCCTCAATACTCGTGAGCCGTACAAATTTCGCATATGCCGGATTGCTGTAAGCCTTTTATATTTGAAAGTTTGTTGAAATTGATTCGGTTTCAAAGTTTATATATATATGTATTTTATTTTATTTTTTTGGTAGAGCACCCCATGCGG